CCTTCAGCAGCAAATCATATGTCGGAAAAATTTGGGCCTCCCAACAATATTCACATATTTATCCTACCCAACCCTATGCAACTTTTTTTTTGCGTAGAGGAGAAGAAAATCTTTATGACTGAGCCCCAACCGGATATGGCGCCTTATCTGATCCGATCGAGAGTGTGGGACTCTCCTGGCACAGATGTTGTTAGCCAGGCCTACCGTACTAAAAACTCCCCCTCTCTTTCCGGAATCGCCCATCGGGGCATTTCTTCGGGGTATCTCACTTCCTTCTTTCACCTTTCATAGGAGACTTTAAACATGTCTTCTTCTTCTTCTTTTTGCTTCTTCTTCACCCTACATTCTTTCTTTCATCCTTCCTCGGAAACTTAGCTTATTACGGAGCCGAAAATTTTATTTTTTGAAAATTGATTTAAATATCACTTACCGGCACGAGGGGGAGGATTCCCACTATTATGCCTTTCTTGCCATAAGAGCCTGTAAACTTTTCCTCTCGAGCTAGTGCATCAGGAACTCATTTGCTGAAGTCGAAATTACATTTGCCTTTTCTTTCCTTCGTAGGGTGTTCTCGTGCAAAGACATATAAATAATTACTTTTTGAAATACTTTTTATACCATACATACCGAGTCGTTGGAACCCTCTTCCCAGGTTCTCCCTTTTCCTCTCCTCTGTTTCTTTCTCGTTCATTATGTCAGTTAGAAGCTTAATTATTTCTTCTCCTTTCTCTCTTGTCCCTAACAACATTTCGTGAATCACCTCAATATACTCTCCCATCTCAGCCAGCTTCCGCATTCCATCGAAACGAGTGCATTCAACGATAGTAAGTTTTGGGGTATCTTCCACTCCGCATCCATACCAGCACAGATCTGATACTTCTTTTTTAATCTTCTTAAGATATTGTCCGAAAATGCCGTGTCCAATAATGGCTTGTGTTGCGTAATAGTTCGTACTGGGGCCTTTTTTTTTGCCACGTTTTTACATCTTTTATAAAATGACTCGCCCAGCGTGTGTACTGACTCCATCTCTCCTGCCAACGCCGGTATACTTCTTCTTTATTCTGCTGTCTATTTTCTCCCCTGGTCTCCCAGTTTCTCGCTCTCTCCCATACTAGTATATCATAGGGAAGACATAGTTTCCACCAACATTCCCACCGCTTCTGTCGAGACAGTTCTATACGCCGATGTTACGTATATTGCGATTTTTCTTTCTATAGATCTGAGCACGTTTTTATATTTTTTCATTCTCAGGACACACTCCCATGCAGGTGCTGCATACAAGGTCACTGATTCCACCACCTTTGCCAATAGCTGTCGTTTTGCTTGACTTGGTCCAACTAATCTAGGCTACCGGTGAGCGGGTTTATTATTCTTAAAGCTTTTTCTGCGGTTCGGCTTAGATGGGTAGTCATGCGCAGATCCTTGTCAACATGAACTCCCAAATACTTCACTGACTATCATCCACCCTTATCTCAATTTTCTGTAATTTCCGTTTGCCTTCCAATATAACCACTTCCGTCTTTTCTGGTGCCAATTGGAGGCCTATGTCATTTAAGCTCTTTTTTAACATCTTTATGCAGTACTCAGCTTTTTTTTTTTTTCACTTCTTCTGGGTTGGGTACTTTTACGACTAATGCCAAGTCATCTGCAAGCCCACTATCCTGACCCCCTTCAATCTATCCTTTCAATCTTCATTCTTATCACACATTCTTGTCATAGCACATATTCCACAACGTACCACCTATTACTGATCCATGTGGGACGCTGCATTTCATTTCGTTTTCTCACCCGTCGGGGAGAACAACAGTTCTGTCTGAGAGGTAGGACTTGACCAGTCTTCTCACCTCTTCTGGCGCACCTTTAAAGCGCACGACCTACTACCGCCCACGGCATCGAATTGAATGCATTCTTCACGTCTAATAAAATCATCGCCCCGTATCCGCGGTGAGTTAGTGATGTTTTCTTCCATTCTTGTGCTTCCTTTATTATGGTCATGAAGGCATCAACGTGTGGTATCGTTGAAGGGTTTTAGGTTTTTTAAATAAAAGAGTTTCTTCCCAACTACATGTGAATGTATTTTACCCAAAGGTTCGTACAATTCTGATGCTTACAAAAGCGTAATCAATTTTAAAGTATTACAGCAATAATGCTTACCACGGTAATACGGTTCAACGGACGATGACCTGATACTTATTAATTAAGTTGCTGANAAGACATATAAATAATTACTTTTTGAAATACTTTTTATACCATACATACCGAGTCGTTGGAACCCTCTTCCCAGGTTCTCCCTTTTCCTCTCCTCTGTTTCTTTCTCGTTCATTATGTCAGTTAGAAGCTTAATTATTTCTTCTCCTTTCTCTCTTGTCCCTAACAACATTTCGTGAATCACCTCAATATACTCTCCCATCTCAGCCAGCTTCCGCATTCCATCGAAACGAGTGCATTCAACGATAGTAAGTTTTGGGGTATCTTCCACTCCGCATCCATACCAGCACAGATCTGATACTTCTTTTTTAATCTTCTTAAGATATTGTCCGAAAATGCCGTGTCCAATAATGGCTTGTGTTGCGTAATAGTTCGTACTGGGGCCTTTTTTTTTGCCACGTTTTTACATCTTTTATAAAATGACTCGCCCAGCGTGTGTACTGACTCCATCTCTCCTGCCAACGCCGGTATACTTCTTCTTTATTCTGCTGTCTATTTTCTCCCCTGGTCTCCCAGTTTCTCGCTCTCTCCCATACTAGTATATCATAGGGAAGACATAGTTTCCACCAACATTCCCACCGCTTCTGTCGAGACAGTTCTATACGCCGATGTTACGTATATTGCGATTTTTCTTTCTATAGATCTGAGCACGTTTTTATATTTTTTCATTCTCAGGACACTCTCCCATGCAGGTACTGCATACAAGGTCACTGATTCCACCACCTTTGCCAATAGCTTTCGTTTTGCTCGACTTGGTCCAACTACTCTAGGCATTATACCGGAGAGCGCGTTTATTATTCTTAAAGCTTTTTCTGCGGTTCGGCTTAGATGGGTAGTCATGCGCATATCCTTGCAAATATGAACTCTCGGCATTATCCACCCTTATCTCAATTTTCTGTAATTTCCATTTGCCTTCCAATATAACCACTTCCGTCTTTTCTGGTACCAATTGGAGGCCTATGTCATTTAAGCGCTTGTTTAACATCTTTATGCAGTACTCAGCTTTTTTTTTTTTTCACTTCTTCTGGGTTGGCTGCTTTTACGACTACTGCCAAGTCATCTGCATAGCCAACTATCCCGACCCCCTTCTCAGTCTTCATTCTTATCACTGTGTCATAGCACATATTCCACAACGTACCACCTATTACTGACCCATGTGGGACGCTGCATTTTATTTCTTTTTCTCACCCGTCGGGGAGAACAACAGTTCTGTCTGAGAGGTAGGACTTGACCAGTCTTCTCACCTCTTCTGGCGCACCTTTAAAGTGCATGACCTACTACCGCCCATGGCATCGAATTGAATGCATTCTTCACGTCTAATAAAATCATCGCCCCGTATCCGCGGTGAGTTAATGATGTTTTCTTCCATTCTTGTGCTTCCTTTGTTATGGTCATGACGGCATCAACGGTACTCCTTCCTTTCCTGTACCCGTACTGTGCTTCAGATATTATCTTATTTTGTTCTAGGTGTTCTGTTGATCTGTTATTGATGATTCTCTCTAGTAACTTGCCAACTGCGCTTAACAGGCAAAGTGGTCTATATTTAGAATTTTTAGCCTTTCTCTATATTTTAGGAAATTTTCCTGTTTCAAGGCAACCGTTATACACGCTAAGAATCCTATGCAACCAACCCAATCTAACCCAACCCAACAAAACTCAAACAGTTATCGTTCTCAACCCAATTCTACCCTACCCAACCCAAAGATAACCAAATTAATCCGACCCAACGTAACCCAACAACTGCAGAGCGAGATGAAGCACCAGGCACGCCATTAACAGTTATTTCTAGCGATGAATCACAAATGGATTTGTTTTCAGCCTAACTAGGCCTATCTCAAAGGAGATAGGCCTAGCAGAATATCCATTGCTAGAGTTGGCGTTGTGCTTATCGCACCAGAGATTGCCAATCCAGCTACTCGTTGAATTCGTGAAAGTTTACTGATCATAGGTCTAACCACAGTCCCATAGTGCCAGTGCTGTCCTTCAGGGGTAAGACCCCAATTCATTCCATAAAAGGGTTTTGTCTAGGATTACTCCTAGATATTTGACTTCCATTGAGAAAGGAATTTCTTCACCTTGGTTAGTTGGGCAGATTAGTCCAATCCTTCGTCTCCTGGTGAAGGGTACAACGATTATCCTTGCGAGTTTATCGAGAGATTCTGCGCTTTACACCAAGCGCAAATGGTATCTAGGGTCACCTGGTGGACTTTGGATATCCTTAAATATAGGCAACCTAATATTCATTCATAATTTAAAAAAATAAATTAATCAAGATCAAAATTCGACTCCTTTAATTGTTTCAATTAATTCCCCATGTGTTGGATTTTCCACTTACTTGTGTTATGGTATAAAAATTCATTAGTGTTAAAAAGTAATGAATTTTTTTCATAAATTTTAACAACAAAAAAAAAATGATATGAATAAAATGGAAATATTTATTTAAAATAATAATTAAACAACATTGAAACATGTCGATTCGATTTTTTGTTGAAATAGTAATTAATTTGCTAGATAATAAATTTATCAATAAATTACGATTATTTTATGGCCATAATAATTTAGTTAATAAAACCACAACAATTAAGCTACATCTTAATAATAACAATAATAAAAACCTACAAGATTTTATTTTAATTATCTTAACGTAGACACACACACAATTTATTAAAAATTATAATAACTAACTAATAAAAAAAAAAACGTTCGTATCACAATTCAAATTCACAAAAGTAATTAAATTAATATTTATTTTGAGTAATTTTCTCTACATATTTTTTTATGTGCAGCTCAAATTTAATTGATTCATTTTTATATTTTATGTTCTTTAAACGTTAAATCAATCTAAGTTTTTTTTTCTTCATAATTTGTACTTCTCCATTTCAAAAGCTGCATTTTCTATACCAAGAAATTGAGATCGCAAAGTTCCATCTTCATTTGAAATAACTCCGTTTTCTTGTTTATTTTCGGATTTTTCCAAATCTTGATTAATTTTAGACTCTTTGGCTTCCTTTTTATGCTGAATATACATCCACCCAAAAATTATTACAGCCGGAATTGTTAAAGCCCCTCCTAACAACAAAAAAGCCCCCGGCATTGTATCCATTGTTGCCGCGTAAGTCGCGCTGTACATAGGACCATACACTAAAGGCATTAAAGCTTCGCAAACACCGAATAAAGAATTAACTTTACCTGAAATGAATTCATAAATATATGAGGAGTTAATTAAATAAAAATCGAACCTAATTCTTCGGTTGGAACTAATTTAGAAGCGATCGATCTCATCGCGATAAATGAAGTCCCGTTAAAGATTTCGACGATGGCTCCTAAATAAAAAACTAAAGATGTTTTTGCGAAAGTGTAAACGAAACTTGATAACACTTTGCTCATGCTAGAAATTACGCCGATTAAAGCATCATCAATTCGCATTATTTGGCTGAAAAGTCCCACTGAAATTCCAGTTCCTAAAAAAATAATTTATTAAAAAATTTGAATTAGTACAAAAAAAAAAAAATATGCAACATAGTGATATCTAGAGCAAATTAGTACTATCTAGCACTGTTACTAGAACTAATACTAGATTAGCCGTCTTAACAGACGCATGGCTAAACCGGAATTTTTCTAGTTCTAGCTCTAGTGTTAGTTCTAGTTTTAGTTCAATAAAAATATGCAATATACTGATTTCTATTGCAAACTAGCACTATCTAGTACTGTCACTAGAACTAACACAAGACCTAGAACTAGAAACATTCGGGTTTAGCCGTACGTCTCTCAAGACGGCTAAACCCGAAGGATTCTAGTTCTAGGTCTTGTGTTAGTTCTAGTTTTAGTTCAATAAAAATATGCAATATAGTGATATCTAGTGCAATCTAGCACTATCTAGTACTGTCACTAGAACTAACACAAGACCTAGAACTAGAAACATTCGGGTTTAGCCGAGCGTCTCTCAAGACGGCTAAACACGAAGGATTCTAGTTCTAGGTCTTGTGTTACTTCTAGTTTTAGTTCAATAAAAATATGCAATATACTGATATCTAGTGCAAACTAACACTATCTAGTACTGTCACTAGAACTAACACAAGACCTACAACTAGAATCATTCGGGTTTAGCCGTCTTGAGAGATGTGCGGCTAAATCCGAATGTTTCTAGTTTTTGGTCTAGTATTGCACTAGCACTATTACTAGAACTAACACAAGACTAGAAATAATACTTAAATGAAGACTTGAAGACTTAAAGAAATAAATAAGCTAGAAACATTCGGGTTTAGCCGTGTGTCTTCAGACGCACGGTTAAACCCGAAACTTTCTAGTTCTAGGTGTAGCGTTAGTTCTAGTTTTCGTTCAATAAAAATATGCAACATGGCAATATCTAGTGCAAATTAGTACTATCTAGCACTATCACTAGAACTAACACAAGACCTAGAACTAGAAACATTCAGGTTTAGCCGTGCATCTCTCAAGACGGCTAAACCAGCATGATTCTAGTTCTAGGTCTTGTGTTACTTCTAGTGATAGTGCTATTGCAATACTAGAACCAACACTAGACCGAGAACTAGAAACATTCGAATTTAGCCGCACGTCTCTCAAGACGGCTAAATCCGAATGATTCTAGTTGTAGGTCTTGTGTTAGTTCTAGTGATAGTGTAAAACTAGAACTAACACTACACCTAGAACTAGAACTAAACCCGAAACTTTCCAGTTCTAGTTCTAGAGTTAGTTCTAGTTTTCGTTCAATAAAAATATGCAACATAGCGATATCTAGTGCAAACTAGTACTATCTAGCATTCTAGATACTATAGAACCGAATAGACTGATAGAACTAGTCTATTCGGGTTTAACCATGATCTCTTCAGATGGCTAAACACGACTGTTTCTTGTTCTAGGTCTGGTATTAGTTCTAATTTAATTCAAGAAAAATATACAACAATCTAACAATGAATAACAATTAAAACTAGAAAGTTTCGAGTTTAGCCGTGCATTTTCAGACGAATCGAACTTTTACTATACCTATAAATCCAGTTATCATGTTGTAAGCTGAAAAAATGCTAAAATCGAATTCGTCCCAATTGAATCTGTATCTAGTAAATAAATACATCACGACCATTTCGCCTAAAAAGAAATGTAGTAATTAGAACTTTAGATATTTAGTATTTAGAACAAAAGTTCAAATTGGAAAAAAAGAGGCTAGTCATTAAATTGTCATGTTATTCAAAACCTGTTATTTGATTTTAACCAACCGTTGTTATTTCTCACGAACATCAAGCCGGATATTAAACATTTTCGAACACGATGGATGTACGTCGTTGTATAACCATCGATAAATCCTTGTTTTTTTTTTGACCTCTCTATTTATTTTTTTATTCTCTATGTATAATTTTGTGGTTGAATAGTGTCCTCATCTAAATAACTAAAGCTAATAATATTACACCGTACCGAATCCAAACATTACTATTATGTAATCTATTCACAACATAGGTAACTTGTTACTGAGCGGATTTTAAATGAGAAAAAAAAACAATTTTAAAGCAGCTGATTTGATAAATCAGGGTCAAAACCAATGCCGTAATTGGTACTTTACCAGTTTTATTTATTTCCCAGTAAATTATTTTTAAACGCATTCTCGTTTTCTATGCAAAATTACAACACAAATTCGATTTTGCACAATCGATGTTCTTAACTGACTAAAAAAGAGACCAATAGTTCAACGTTCGCTTGTGACATTATTAAAGTTGTTGTAGCAAAATTCGATTCTTCATAAAATAATAAATTATAAATAAATGCAATCCGAGGTAATCTTTCTAAAACGATTTGATGAAAACTCTCTGGATGAACCCGAGTGCAATAAGCGCAATTTTAATTTGTCGTTTCCTTATTTTTTACGATTGTACTGTCCTTGGCACTGTATCTGGTTTCTAAGTAAGCTTAAATTACATAGTTGTCGATTAGATCGTATTTGATTACACGGTAACCGTTCAAAAAATTGCAGAAAAAAGTGATTAAAAAAAGATTAACCATAATCATTAGAATCGGTTGTTAAGATAACAATTAAATGTAATTTTTGTATAATTATTTGTTTAAAAAGGAATGGTTGAATTTTGTGCCATGCGCAAAGCTCAAAGTACAAATTGCAAAAACGTCCACTTTAAAGTTAATCTTAATGTTATGCAGAATTAATGAGACAATTTTCCAGAAAAGAACCTTGTAGTAACTTGATTATTTTGATGAAGATTCTACAAAAATAAATCATATAAACAAGCGTGTTTTTTTCATATTTTCGAAGAATTTGGTGCGAAATGGAATAAAATTATAATTAATACAACGTTTGCGAATTAAATTTGCTTCTTATTTTATCGCAATATCTTAATTTATTCTTAAGATACGATTTTTTAAAATTTTCATTGACATAATCACCTTGATATCGAGATGCTTCTATTAAAAAAACCCAATGATTTAAAAAAATCTCTTTATCACATTGAAATCTTATTAAATTTCATTTAAATTACTGCTTATTTCATCTTAATATCTCAATTAGTTTTTGAGATATAATTTTTTAAAGATGGTGGGGTTTAAAATTACATGATTTTGCAAGGTTGAATTTAAAAAATCATTATTCCAACGTTTTTGTATTTAAAGAAATGAGGTTCGATGTATTTTATATTAATTAAATTTGCTTTAAAGTGCTTCTTATTTCATTGCAATATCTCAATCGGTTCTTGAGATACCATTTTTTTTAAATTTTCATTGACATAATCACCTTGATTATCGAAATGCTTGTATTCAAAAAATGCTAATAATTTAAACAAATTCTCTTCATCACATTAAAACCTTATTAAATTTCATTTAAATTGCTGCTTATTTCATCTTAATATCTCAATTCGTTTTTGAGATATGATTCTTTAAATATGGTGGGGTTCAAAATTGCGTGATTTTGGTTTTGCAGGGTTGAATTTAAAAAATCATAACTCCAACATTTTTGAATTTAAAGAAATGAGCTTCGATATATTTAATATTAATTAAATTTGCTTTAAAGTGCTTCTTATTTCATTGCAATATCTCATTTGGTTCTTGAGATATGATTTTTTTAAATTTTCATTGACATAATCACCTTGATTATCTATCTAGATGCTTGTATTCAAAAAATCCTAATGATTTACACAAATTGTCATCATGACATTAAAACCTTATTAAATTTCATTTAAATTGCTGCTTATTTCATCGTAATATCTCAATTAGTTTATGAGATATGATTTTTTTAAGATGGTGGGGTTGGGTTAAAAATTGCGTGATTTTGGATTTGCAAGGTACAATTTAAAAAATCATAACTCCAACATTTTTGAATATAAAAAAATGAGCTTCGATATATTTAATATTAATTAAATTTGTTTTAAAGTGCTTCTTATTTCATTGCGATATCTCAATTGGTTCTTGAGATATGATTTTTTTAAATTTTCATTGACATAATCACCTTGATTATCGAGAAGCTTGTATTCAAAAAATTCTAATGATTTAAACAAATTCTTTTCATCACATTAAAACCTTATTAAATTTCATTTAAATTGCTGCTTATTTCAGCGTAATATCTCAATTAGTTTATGACATATGATTTTTTAAAGATGGTGGGGTTAAAAATTGCGTGATTTTGGTTTGCAGTGTTGAATTTAAAATATCATAACTCCAACGTTTTTGAATTTAAAAAAATGACCTTCGATATATTTAATATTAATTAAATTTGCTTTAAAGTGCTTCTTATTTCATTGCGATATCTCAATTGGTTCTTGAAATACGATTTTTTAAAATTTTCATTGACATAATCACCTTGATTATCGAAATGTTGTATTCAAAAAATCCTAATAATTTAAACAAATTCTTTTCATCACATTAAAACCTTATTAAATTTCATTTAAATTGCTGCTTATTTCAGCGTAATATCTCAATTAGTTTATGACATATGATTTTTTAAAGATGGTGGGGTTAAAAATTGCGTGATTTTGGTTTGCAGTGTTGAATTTAAAATATCATAACTCCAACGTTTTTGAATTTAAAAAAATGACCTTCGATATATTTAATATTAATTAAATTTGCTTTAAAGTGCTTCTTATTTCATTGCGATATCTCAATTGGTTCTTGAAATACGATTTTTTAAAATTTTCATTGACATAATCACCTTGATTATCGAAATGTTGTATTCAAAAAATCCTAATAATTTAAACAAATTCTTTTCATCACATTAAAACCTTATTAAATTTCATTTAAATTGCTGCTTATTTCAGCGTAATATCTCAATTAGTTTATGACATATGATTTTTTAAAGATGGTGGGGTTAAAAATTGCGATATCTTCATTGACATAATCATCTTGATTATCGAGATGTTTGTACTTAACAGATCCTAATGATTTAAAAAAAGTTTTCTTATCACATTAAAACCTTATTAAATTTCATTTAAATTGCTGCTTATTTCATGGCGATATCTCAATTAGTTTTTGAGATATGATTTTTTAAAGATGGTTTGGTTTAAAATTGCGTGATTTTGGTTTTACAGGGTTGAATTGAAAAAATCATAACTCAAACATTTTTGAATTTAAAGAAATGAGGTTCGATGTATTTAATATTAATTAAATTTGCTTTAACGTGCTTCTTATTTCATTGTGATATCTCAATTGGTTCTTGAGATATGATTTTTTAAAGATGGTGGGGTTAAAAATTTTGGTTTGCAGTGTTGAATTTAAAATATCATAACTCCAACATTTTTGAATTTAAAGAAATGAGCTACGATATATATAATATTAATTAAATTTGCTTTAAAGTGCTTCTTATTTCATTGCGATATCTCTATTGGTTCTCAGATGGTTCTTCAGATACGTTTTTTGTTTCAATTTTTTACGATTTACTAATAATAAATAGCATATTATTTACTTGAA